GGGGGGGGGGGATTTTTTGGGCAATTTTTATTACAAACGGGACCCACCCATGTGAGTTATATATATAATTCCTTTATCATATCATTCCTTTTAGAGCAGTCTCCTTCAATCATATCATTTGTGACCCACTATAAAAGCTCTGAGGACATCAAAAATAGGAAAAAGCGTAGAGCGATCACCCTCAAAAGCATGATGAGCAAGAGAGAAGTTAATATTGGCATATAGTTGATCTTATATTTTGATTATAACAAATAAAGTAGTTTTATATCTAACATTTGTATTTGAATCTTCATAGTTACATGTTGATTAAATTGGAGACAAAATAATTTTTATCAAAAGACTTGCAGTTGACGATCAAGAAAATTCAAGATGGATTCGAGCATTTACAATCGGAGACAAAATGAGCACTCGTGCCAAATCAATCGAAGATATTTAGAACTAGACATTTGAGCTCATTTGTAAATGTAAAATACTAATCCTTAATAATGACTCATTAGAAGCTCAAGTAATGATCTACTTCATAAAAAAATTGCACAAGATTTATTTTTCAAAGGTAAGAATTTCAATTTAATTTTCAAAGATACTATCATCAAAAATGTTATTTATAAGCCTATATTGTTTCAAATAATCAAATGAGAAGAGCAGAAGATTTTGGTCCATCTGAAAGTCAGGATGGTGAACTAGACGTCCAGTTCATCCGCAACGGTTGATTTTTCGACCTTTCTGACTTCTGATAAGAAATGGCTCAATCAGTCGTCTGGAACAGTATCGGATGTTTGGATGATCGCCCGGTTCGACAGAGTTTTTGACCTTTTTCAACTGCTATAAATACCAACTCACTTGCCATTCATTACAAAATTGAAGATAATTCAAGTGAGATATTTTTGAGCAAAATTATATTGATTTCTCATAGGACAGTTTGACTGTCATAAATATCTACTTACTTGTCATTCATTTTAACAACTTTAAAGCATTTAATTGAGATTCTTTTGATTTAAAATTATATTGATTTCTCATCTCATTTATCATCATCAAATCATTTTAGCTTTGAAAAACGTTTGATCAAATTAACTTTTGAAAATCATTCTATACATTAAAGGTTTTATATCTAGCATTTGAACTTTATTTATTGCTATCTATTAAAGTGTTAGCCTATTTCTCTCTTGGTACTTAATTGTGATCATATCATTTATTAAGAGAGAAGTTTCTCTTGTAAAACAAACTTTCTTTAAAACTTGTGGGTCGTGTTGATGTCCCGTAAATCTCAATATTGTATAAGGATCGGTGCTCCTTGTTTGTAAGTTATCGGAATCGTTGTAGAGGGTAGATTGCACCATAATTCAATAAACATAATGAAAAAGCCTTGCTCGTCTCGGAGAGCTTGGTAACAGATGACGTAGATCATTGCTTTGGATTAAACCTCCACAATTATATCATTTGCATCATCTATCCCTTTTACTTATCATTTTTATATTTGTGCTTATTATTTGAATTAATCTATTTAGTCTTTTCTTGTTTGAATTCAGATTAATTTTTTTGAAAATGTTTTAAAAACCAATTCATCCCCTCTTGATTAGCCAATCTTGGGTCTACAATTGGTATCAGAGCAAGTTGCTCATTTTAAAATTAAGATTCTATAATGTTGAGCAATTGCTAACTACAATTTTCAGAATCTTGAGAGACATTCTACTAATTGTCCTCCCTTCTTTGATGACACGCATTATAATTATTGGAAAGTTAGGATGATGATATACATTCAATCAATAGATTATAATATTTGAGAAGTTATTGAATATGGCCCTTATGTGCCTTCCAAGACTATTAAAATTGATGGCCAACCCGATAAAACCATTCCAAAATCTAGAGATGAATATGATGAAAATAATAAAAGAAAATTGTCCCTGAATGCTAAAGCCAAAAATCTACTTTATTACGCCTTAGATAATGAGTTTTAACATTTGATTCCACATATGACATTTGGTATGCATTAGAAGTTACTCATGTTGGTACTAGTAAAGTGAAGGAAACTAAAATTAATTTCTTGGTTAAAGAAATTGAAAACTTCATGAAACAAGATGAACTTATTGTTGACATGATTACTCGTTTCACCGATATTTTAAATGTCCTCAAAGAGTTTGATCGAAAATTTACTAAATGTGAATTTGTAAGTAAAATGCTCATGTCACTATCGGAAGAATGGAGCCCATTAAGGTAGTTGATAGACAATACCAAAGATATCAACTCATATCATTTTGAAGAACTTTGTGGCACATTAATGACATATGAGCTCAACAACGCCGAAACTAAGGAAAAACGAGGAAAAGCCAAGAGGAATCAAAAGAGCCTCCCAAGTGCCAAATCGCTCTTAAATCGACAATTGAGAAAGGAATTACAAGTGAAAATATGATTGATGAAGAGCTCGATGATTAGGGATGGCAACGGGGTGGGGTGGGGGCCCTCCCCGCCCCCCCGTCCCGCTAAGAAATTCTCCACCCCGTTACCCATTTAAGGCGGGGCGGGATAGGTCATTTTCCCATTTATTCCCCATTTAATTTTTTTTTAGTTTTTAATAATTTATTTTTATTGCCCCATATTCATTAGATTTAGACAAATAATTTTAGTTGCTATTTTCTATTAGAACTAGGGGTGGTAAAAAAGTTCGGCGGCTCGGACGGCTCGGGCTCGGTAGCACCGAGCCGAGGCTCGGGCCGAGCCCCATGTGGGGGCTCCGAGCCGAGCCCGGGCCGGCCCGTGTCACAGGCCAAAATGGCCCGTGTTATTTAAAAAAAAAATAATTTTTTTTCAAAAATTTAAATTAAAGCTGCCTCA